TATAGCCCCAGTTACTGTGCCAGGCGGGAGGATAACTTTGGATTGTTGTACATGAATAACTTTAGATTGTTGTACATTTTGTTGCACATTTAAAAAAAAAAAAAAAAGACATCCCCTGAAAATAAGACATAGTGTGGTTTTTGGGGGCAAAAAAAATATAAGACAGTGTCTTATTTTCGGGGAAACACGGTATGTTATGATGATGCCCATCTATTAAAGTGATATTAGCTTTATTTTTATTTTTTACACATAGGAGGCCCACACTTGTATAAATACTCTGTTCTTTAAAAATGTTCAGTTCCTCGTTCTCTAGTGGGTGCCCACATTGCTCTCCCTCCCGCCCCCTGCTAAGCAGCTGCTGTGGAGGCACCCGTGCGTGCGCGTTGACCATGCGCCTGACCATGCCCGCAAATAGCTGTGTGCGTCCATAGACACACACACCCCTGCAGAAGGCCATGCCCCTCTTCTTCTCCTAACAGATTGGTTACGGGGAGGATACTCCTTCTGCCGTCAATCAAAGTTTGGGAAACAGAGGATTGCTTCAGGGACCGCAGTAGTGACAAGTATTCAACGGCAAGTATGTGGGGACAGAGGACACAAAAAGGTACTGGGGGGGGGGGGGTTTTACCTTAATGCAGAGAATGCATTAAGTTAAACGCCCAGACTTTACTATTACTTTAAATCATTGAGAGAGTCCAATATCTTATTTTTCACAAAGTCCCATTGGGGAGACTTTGAGAAAAATGTGAAAAAAGATATTGGACTCTCACGATTTAATAAAATATGCACATCATCATAACATCTGTGCCGGGATTGGATTAATGCTACTGTCTGCAAGTTTATGCCAGCTGTACCGTGCATCTTTACTCCTGCATGCAAATCTTTGCAGCTCCTGTATGGCTTCTGCACATTTAATTATCTGGTGTCTGCTGCAGCTGCCAATATATAGCTGAAAGGGAGGAGTGGAATGGGGAGACACTGTGAATAATCTGTGAAAAATATGACCACCTGACGTTTGTAGGCAAATTAGCTATAATTTCGCGCTGAAGTTATTAAAAAATAACTAGAGGGCCAGACCATTATAAATAGGGAAGCAGGTTGTTTACCACAACAGTAGAAGTGATTTTTTTTTTCTGAAGATATGGGTAAACAACGCGATTTAACAGCCTTTGAACATGGGATGATTGTTGGCGCTCGTAGCCATGGAGCAAGTATCAGCAAAACAGCAGAATTCGTTAAATGTTCAAGAGCAGCTGTTGTTAAAGTGTTTAACCACTTGAAGTCCGCGGTGTTTACACCCCTTCCCATCCAGACCATTTTTCAGTATTCAGCTGTACTTTGACTGACATTTATTCCGTCATGCAACGCTGTACTGAAATACATTTTATACCATTTTTTAGGTACAGATAGAGTTTTATTTTTGGTGGTATTTAATCACCACTGGGGGTTTTATTTTTTACTATATTAAGGAAAAATTACCAAAATTTTTTAAAAATACTGTTTCACCTATATTAAATTATAAAACATTTATTATTACCTAATTTTTTTGTAAAATATAAGAGACGGGGTCACATCGGGTAAAAAGACACCAAACATGTCAAGCCTTAAAATTGCGCGCATGCGCAAAACCTCAAAAAACTACACTACCCAAAATTGGCCATAGGCGACGCTTTAAAAGCTTTTACCGCTCATCAGTTTAGTGTTATCAATGATTGATGGCCCTAAAATGATCTCATTCCGACGTTTGCGACGATATGTAACATGTGTAGCGCAATTTTCGTTTTCGCGCGCTGACGCATATTTACGTTTATATGGGGGTGGGGGACTTAAAATATTTTTTTACATGTGACTTTTATTTTATTTGAACTTTTTTTATTTATATTTTTTTATTTTTACACTTATTGTTATTGCTATTACATAGGGGAATAACAATCCCCCTATATAATGGCAAAGGCACACTGACACACTGACCCCTAATGTCACATGGGGACCCCAAAAGAAGCTGATGAAGCAGAGATCTGCTTCATCAGCTTCTTCTCTCTGGCTATAGCAGCCAGATGAATGACAGGTGAATGCGGAAGTGATGTAATACACATCACGTCTGCATTCACACTACGGGGGGAAGTCAGCAAGGAGGAAGATGCTGATCTACCTCCCATCTTCCTTTTGCCGTCCGTCCGTTTTTTCTCAATGGGCGGACGGCAGGAGGTTAAAGACTGGACTGTCCGCCGAAAATCTGGGTCTTAACGTGCGAATTGTGGCCGTCAGCGACTGGTCAATGTTAGGGCAGAAAGGAGAGTGGCAAGACTGGTACAAGACAACAGAAGGGCAACAGTGCATCAAATTACTGCAGATCTTAATCAGGGATCCTCTCAAATGTTCTCTGAACGCACTGTTCCCCGTACATTGCGTCGTATGGGATATGGAAGCCGAAGGCTTGTTCGAACACCTTTGCTGTCTGCAGTTAACAAGATAAAATGTCTCCATTTCGCACAGGAACACAAAAATTGTACAGTTGAGCATTGGAAAAAAGTCATGTGGTCCGATGAATCAAGTTTCCAGTTGCATCAAGCAGATGGCAGAGTGAGAATTTGGCGGAAACAGCATGAAAGCATGCACCCCACATGCATGAGTACAACCCTTCAAGCTGGTGGAGGCAGTGTTATGGTTTGGGGCATGTTTTCCTGGCATGATTTGGGCCCTTTAATTCGTGTGGAACAACGTCTGAATAGCACAACATACCAAAGTATCGTTGCTGCTCAAGTTCATCCTATCATGTTGATGGCGTATCCCAATGGAGATAGCTTCTTCCAACAAGACAATGCGTCATGCCACGGTGCTCGTATTGTGCAGGAGTGGTTTCAAGAACATGAGGGAGACTTTACCTTGCTTAGGTGGCCCCCACAATCACCAGATCTCAATACAATTTAGCATTTGTGGGACAAAGTTGAAAGAGCCATCAGGCAGCTGGTTCCACAACCATCAAATCTCACAGAACTGGACAGTGCTATTCATCAGGCATGGTGTCAGATTCCT